AATTTCTCCTTTGACCTACTCATCAGGAGTGTGTTGTTTAATCTCCATGAGTTCGTGTAGTTCCTAGGGCTTCTTCTGTTGTTGATTTTAAGCTTTATTGCATTGTGGTCTGATAGAATCCATGGAATTATTTCAGTTTTTTTTTTTTGTATTTTTTGAGGTTTGTTTTGTGCCCTGGTATGTGGTCAATTTTGGGGGTGCTGAATAGATAGTATATTCTTTGGTGCTTGGGTGGAATATTCAGATGCCTGTTAGGTCCATTTGATGTATGGTGTCATTTAATTCAGATGTCTCTCTGTTTATTCTTTGTCTGCTTGATCTGTCTAATGGAGACAGTGGGGTACTGAAATGCCCTACTATTACTGAGTTGGAGTTAATCTGTGCCTTAAAGTCCTGTAATGTTTTTTTTTTAAATGAATTTCCATACTCCAGAGTTTGGTGCATATATGTTCATGATTGTAATATCTTGTTGGTTAATTGTTCTTTTGATCAGAATGAAGTGACCCTCTATCTCTTCTGATTAGTTTTAGTTTGAAGTCTATTTTGTCAGATATTAGAATTGCTACCTCTGCTTGTTTCTTAGTGCCTTTTGCTTGAAATACTCTTTTCTATCCTTTTACCTAAAGGTAGTGCCTGTCCTTGAAGGTGAGATGGATTTCTTGCAGACAACAAATGGATGGATTTTGTTTCTTAATCCATTCAACTAACCTTTGTCTTTTTCCCGGGGAGTTCAGTCCATTGATAATTTTAAAGTTATTATTGAAAGATATGTATTGATTTCCATCATTTTGATTACTGTTTGCATTCTTTGTCTAATTTTGTGTTTCCGTAATTATTCCCTCATTTAGTTTCTTTCTGTTGACCCTGGGGTATAGTTGTTCCTTTCTCCATTCCTTGTATTGCTTCAAGTATTCTTTGAAGGTCTGGTTTTGTGGACATGTATTCTTTCAGCCTATTCAAGTCATGGAAGATTTTTCTTTCCCCTTCAACTATAATAGACCTTTTTTTCAGGGTAAAGTATTTAGGTTGGCATCTGTGGTAATTTAGAACTGGAAATACCTTGATCCAGGTTCTTCTGGCTTTCATAGTTTGCATAGGTAAGTCAGCTATAATTCTGATGGGTTTTTCCTTTATATGCGACTTGTTTTTCTTTTGCAGCTTTCAGTATTCTCTCTTTGTTCTGTACATTTAATATTTTTACTATGATATGCTGTGAGGAGTTTCTTTTCTTGTCCTGTCTATTTGGTGTTTAATGTGCTTTTTGTATTTGTATGGGAATTTCTTTCCTTAATTTTGAGAAATTCTCTTCTACAATCCTGTGTAAGATCTGGTCAGTACTGTTAACCTGAAAGTCTTCTCCTTCCTCTATGCCTATAATGTGTAGATTTGTCTTTTTATGGTGTCCCACAATTCCTGCATTTTCCATTCCTGTGTGTTTTTAAAATCTTTCATAATCTTTGCTTGAGCGGTCCAATTTTTCAACTTTATTGTTCAGTGTTGATACTGTTTTCCATTTCATTTGTGCTAGTGGCGAGGCTTGTTGTTTCAAATTGGTTTATTGAGTTTTGCACTTCCTTCTTCATTTAAGCCTGAGTTTTCTTCAGTGTATCTATGCCTTTTGTGAATTCAGTCAGAAGTTTATCCCTATCTTCTTTTAGTTCTTTGATTTGTTTGTGTGTTCTTTAAATTCACTGAATTCTTTGATTATGTTTATGATTGTTCTTTTAAATTCTGTGTCCTGCCTTATTTCTAGGGGGTTCTCCTTATAGAAGTAGAAGTCTCCTATGGGATTGATGGAGTTTAGTGGGAACATACTATTTTGGTTTTCTGTATTATTTTTCTGTTGTGATTTTGCCTGTGGATTCTTTTGTTATTTGTGATACTGGTGTGAAACTCAAGCCTTACTTTGTTGAGTTGAGGTCTGCTTCTGTTTATTTTATTAGTTTGCCCTGGTTGTTTTCTTGTTAGATATGTAAATCTGGTTGGTCTAGGTTTCAGGTTCTCTCAGATTTTATATTGAAGGAAACTGATTGCTTCAGATCAGCCAATCAGGAGCTCCCACAGAACTTGGGCCTCCCACAGAGGCCCAAGTCAGGCTCCACTCAGGTACACTGAGGCTTCCTTCCAATGTCTGGGCCCTTACTTGTGGGAATTTGGGAATTTGGGAAGTTCACTAAGGGAAGACCAGATTTAAGCACCTTCTGCTAAGGTCTTAGCCCCTACTGTAGGGCAGGGAAGTCTAGCCCTGGCTAAGTGGGAGGGGCCTCACATGGTCCCAATGCAGAGGGTCAGGCATGGGAAGATTTGGAGAAGCTCACTACCACTAGAGACCAGATCCAGGCACTCTCAGGCAGTCTGCTAAGGTCTTAGCCCCTACTGTAGGGCAGAGACATCTAGCCCTGGCGAAGTCTGGATCTATGTCTTACCTGGCCTACTGCAGCTCTAAGAACCCACTCTCACTCCCTAGTACTCTGTTATGGTTCTTAAAAAAGTTTTCTGTGCCTTTAGAACTAGATTCTTTTCCTTCCATGCCTAGTATCCATAGATTTAATGTGTTTTCAGATTGCCAGGTATTTCTTGAATTCCCTCTGTTACCTTCCTATTTTATCTTTGTTTTATTTGATTGTTCCAGTTCCTCCACATTGTCTTCAAGCTCAGTTAATCTGTCTTCTTTTTGATCTGTTCTTTTGGTGAAACTCTCCACAGAGCCTCTTTATTTGACTTACTGTATTTTGTTTGTTTTTTGAGACAGGGTCTCTCAGTAGCCCCAGCTGGCCTAGAGCTTGCTATGTAGAGGACCAGGTTAACCTTTATTTCACAGAGATCCTCCTGCCTCTGCTGGGATTAAAGGCGTGTGCCACCAGGCTTGGCCTCTCTTACATTCTTTCATTTCTAGGAGTTCAGATTGTTTTTCCTTCAGTTTTCTTTGTTGAGCTTCCTCTTCATACCTTACATCACCTTATTTCATTCAGCTGTTTGTGCTCTCAATCAGGAGCTTATTTTCTTTGATTTCTTTGATCTTTCTTATCATTCATTCTTTTGTGTTCTCTGTGATTTCATCTAACTTACACTTACTAGATGTCATTGCTGTACAATTAGTAATTTTAAAGTTGTGTTGCCTTGGTTTTTCATGTTTCTTTTGTCACTGTGCTGGGATTTACACTTCTGGTATTATTTCTTTGCTTGTTTTTTTTTTTTTTAAATCCGTATTCTTTCAGTTGAAGTATTTGCAATGTTCATGTGGGACTTGGCTGTGGTAGAAGTAAGTGCTAAGTTCAAATAATAGTTCCTCAGTCCAGGAGCTCAGGATGTAAACTTGTAAACTGGTGTAAACTCTGTATTATTCCTTAGTAAGATACTCACTTCAAGATCAACCACAGTTGCTTGATGTTATCACTATGCAAATATATTAGTCAGTCAACAACACTGATGCATTTGGCTTTAATAACTCTTGAAGGATCAATAACCAAGGATAGTTTGGAGTATATTCAGATTTTAGTTAATAAGATTAGGAGACTGAGAGAAGTAGGTTGGGTTAGGATAAGGATTAAAGTTGAAATGGGAAAAAATTGAGATGGGTAAAGTGACTGAAAGGGAAAGTTGGGATAGTGTTAGCGTCCGCAGAGTTTAGAGATTGTTAAAGCTATGGAAAGTTATAAAGAAGTAAAAGAGGAGGGGATGAGGATGAGATAAGAAAAGATGTAGGAACAAGAAAGGGAGTATATGTGATGTACCTGAAGAGTGTAGTTAAGAACTTCTTATGAGGCTGGAGAGACGGCTCAGCGGTTAAGAGCACTGACTGCTCTTGCAGAGGACTCAGCTTTCGTTCCCAGCACCCATATGGTGTCTAACAACTGCTTGTAACTCCAGTTCCAGGGGATCCTACGCTGCCTTCTGACTTACGCAGCCATTGCATGACATTGGTGCACTTACATACGTGCAGGCAATCCACTCATACAAATGAAATAAAAGTACATCTTACAGTAAAAACTGGGTGGAGAAACAAACATCATCTTAAACCTAATTGAGCAATGTACAAACAAAAGCAAAACCATCATGAAACATATATGCAAGAGTGGAAATTAATAGAAAATAATAAATAAAAAGAATGCTTGCAGAATGAATTGCTGGCACAGCTATGCTGAATTGAAAGATGAAATTTTTAGACCCATCTGGCTCTAGGTTCCACATGGTGCTGACTGTGAGGGTAGATGGAAGTTTGTGGTTTCTGAAGCCTCAGTGTTTTGAGGGTTCTGGTGTGTGGGGGAGGGGAGGTTGTAAGACCTTTCCTGGCAGTTCCCTTAGACACCTGTACTCCACAGTGGTCTCTTCTGGTCCTTCAGGTCTTCCTAACTTTTAATTAAGTTAATTCTTGGAAAGTTTCATACATTTATATAATGTATTATGGTTATTCTTTCCCTGTCGTCTTATCTCTCTCCCACCCTTATCCAACTACTTCAACCTGTCCCTTTCTCAGAATCATGACTTTTGGTTTTGTGACCCATTTAGTTTAACCAGGGTCATCTGTGTAACCTTTGGAGCCTGGTGGGATCACCAGTACATATACAACTGAAGGCACTGACTACCCCTTTCTCTGAATCTGAGATTCAAGACCGTTTAACAATATGGAGTAGGCCTCCCTGGGCCCCTCCGTCACCTATGCCTGCTTATGCAGACCCAGTGTAGACATTTGCAGTTGTGGAGATTGTGATTGCAATGGCTGTGCATGTCTTCTTTCCAAGAAGACTAGAAGATAGCTTTTTTTTTTTTTTTGAGAGACATAATGGACTCTGTCGTCATCATGTTTCTGATGTACACTAGCTTTGACTATGGATACATAGTAGTAAAAACAAGTACCCTCCTCACAGAAGTGTTAGGAGAATTAGTTATTGTATGTATATTTATTGACATACTATAGGTTCATAATGCTAACTTATATTCTGATTTACGTAATGTGCTTCTCATTAAAATGCCAAATAGAGTTTCTTTTTCTCCCACAGATATATGGTGGATTGTTTTCTGAAGATAAGTGTTGGTACAGATGCAAAGTTCTGAAAACCATCAGCGATGAAAAGGCAGGAAATATGTATCAATTTTTTGACTTTAAGAATATTTATTTCGGTTCCATGGCTTTAAAGAATTTAATTTTTATTTAAAATTTACTTGTGTGCACACGTGTTTTTGGAGGTCAGAGGACATACTGAGGGAGTTGGTTCTCTCTTCCCACCCTTTTGGTCCTGGGGGTTGAATTCAGGTTGTCAGGCTTGGCAGCAAGTGCCCTCACCCACTGAGCCATTTCACTGGCCTTTGCTTTCAAAACTTGATGCTTTCTGAGTTCGTTATTGTTCATAATAATGCCTAGTTTAATGAACCTACAAATTAATGAAAACATGTTTTTCTTCTTGGTGAATATGAAAGAAACTAATTTTTTTAAACATATAAGAATCAAGAATATTCTTCTGAGTTTAAGTTGCTGTACAATCATTAGGTCATTTAAAAATAGATGATATAATTTGTGGATTAGTTGGTTCTTCGTACATCATTTCTTAATTGTTCTTGCTATTGAACTTTAAAGTTTATTTTACTGAGATTAATGAGTAGAAAAGTAAAACTTGTTTTATCTTGAAGTTAGATGTATTTTTTATTTAATTGTGAATATTATTAACAATAAAAATTAGTTTGTCATTTCTAATACCTAAGTTAAATGTGATAATTTTTTTGTTAAGGTATTTTATTTTTTTGCATTGAAAGCTTGTGGAAGGTTTTTCTTTCATAAGTTCATACATATATAATATACTTCGATCATATCCATTTCCCTTCCATTATTCTGTGCTACCCCCCCTCCCCACCAAACCCCTTTTTCTTCTCAGTAAATTCCCCAGTAAAAGTTAACATTTGTCTTTGCAAGTATTGGGTTCAAGGTCTAACTACAGCAGGGTTTAAGTTCATCTAATTAGACTTGATAACTTTACCTTTTCAGATTTTATTGTTTCCAACTTGAACTTAAGAATGTAGCTTGGTTTTACTATTAGAGATTGGAAAGGGATATAAATGCCATATACACAGGTTTTATAAAAATTCAGTGTTTAAACTGGGTGTGGTGGCACATGCCTTTAATCCCAGCACTCAGGAGGCAGAGGCAGGGGGATCACTGTGAGTTCAAGGCCAGTCTGGTCTATATAGCGAGTTCTAGGCCAGCTGGGGTGGGGAGACCCGTCTCAAACAAACCAAAAACCAAACCAAATCAAACAAAATCCAGTGGTTAAAAAAGACAAAATAGGGATTGGAGAGATGGTTCAGTTGTTAAGAGCACTAGCCGCTCTTGCAGAGGACTCAGGTTCTATCGCAGCACCCACATAGTGGCTAACAACCATCTGTTCCAGGGGATCTGACACTGTCTTCTGACCTCTGTGGGCATTGTATGACATGGGTGCACTGATACACAGAAAACAAAATTAATAAATAAAATATTTAAAAAACAAAATAAACAGTACTATTGGAATCTAGTCCCAAATATAGAATTTTTCTTTGAGGATATTATTAGAGTTCTGTTTTTGCATGCATTTTGTCAATCTGAGGTAAAATTTATAGGGACCATTAACAGATTTTCAATCTAATTTCACCATTACTATTTGCCTCCTACTTTTCCTAGTGTCTTGTGAGATACATTGACTATGGAAATACAGAGATCCTAAACCGATCTGATATAGTAGAGATTCCCCTGGAACTGCAATTTTCAAGTATTGCCAAAAAGTATAGACTTTGGGGACTACAGATTCCTTCTGGCCAAGAAGTTACCCAGTTTGATCAGGTAAGTCACAGATTTAAATAATTTTGTTAATGGAAGTAAAACTATATGCTTGAAAGATATGCACAGTTAAATGTCTTTAGCTTTGTTCATTGTAAAAGCTTATATGTATTACTGGAAAATATGAATTACAAAACAATTCAGGATTGGGATATAGTTTATGGTAGAGCTCTTGCCTAGTGTGCTCAGACCCTGGGATTGGTCCCTAGTACTACCAAATAAAAAATATCATAAAATACATGAAAAATTACATCCTTGTTTTCATCTTTGGTAGGTAATCATTCTTAATGATTAAAGAAGTGATTTTATATATGTGTTAAAAATATGAATAGCTTCTCATGTAAAAGTTAAAAAGATTATCTTTTATAGAAAAATTTTGCTATTTTGTTAACATTTGACTTTTTAAGTATTGGGTTTGTTTTTATTTTGGGCAGTACTAGGGATTAAATCTAGAAGGCCCCTTCCCCCAATCTTTAACTTAACCTTGCCCATAAATAACACTAATTTGAAATTACTAGTATTACAAGGAATCAGATTTTTTTCATTTAGTCAGTGTGATGGTCAGTTTTAAATGTCAACTTGCCATAACCTAGAAAGACCTGGGATGAGTCTCAGTTGAGGAATTATGCAGCTCAAGTTGGTTGTGGGCACGTCAGTGGGGATTTGTCTAGATTGTTAATTGGTGTAGGAAGGTCCAACCCATTGTATGCTGCACCATTCTCTGGATAGGGTGTCTTGAACTATTAAGACAGGAGAAATCAGGATGAGAGGAACAAGCAGGCAGCGTGGATGTATTTGTTTCTCTCTGCACTTGAGGGTGGATATGGTATGAACAGCTGTTTGAAGCTCCGGCCTCTGTGATTTCCCTGCAATGATGGATTTATAAGCTACATAACCCGTTTCTGTTCCTGTGTTGCTTTCTGTTAAGATATTTGATTACAGCAGCAATTGAAACTAGACTAGGCAGAGACCCAGTGTTTGATAAAATAATTGGCAGTATTTTGTTAATGTAGATTCTAGTTTGTATTTATTTTAATTGCGCTGTGGGCCAGCAATTCATTTTGGAAGACACAATTTCAAATTTTATATATACATACATATATATATATATGTAAAACTTGATAAAATTTGACAATTTGGGGGGTAGAGTACCTTCATTTAAATGTTACACATTAATTTTAAGAAATAATTATGATTCTTTTGTGGTTTAGGAATCATTTTTAAAAAATGGACAGAATCTGGACTAATGACTTAATTAACCTTGACAGCCACAGTTTACTATTCTACCCCCCAAAACAATGAATAAATGTGGGGATGCTTGAGAATGTATCAGAGCACTGCACTGAAAGACAAATGCCCCATCTTCATTGAATTTAGTGAAGATTGGGAAAGAAGCTTGGCATTGTGTGCCTGAGGTAGTCTAGAACTAGGGATGAAAAAGCAAGATTGAGAAAGACTGCTGGCTGTTAAGGGTGAATCCAAACTTGCATTTCCACAATGAAGTGGGAGAAATGGCTTTAAATAAAATTGTGATTGAGGCATGACTTGAGGACACAGTTTTAGGGGCGGAGTGCTAGACAGAGTTCCAGAAGCACAGTTCCAGGGCACAGAGATGGTTCCAAGAGATATCTCAGGGAATGAGTGTTCTCAGAGTTTGGATCTACTCTTAAAAACTAAATTTAAGAGTCAGAATGTTTTATTGAGGTAATTGTGATGTTGGCATAGTAACACTGTACTTTTGGTGAGTGATAGTGCTGGTAAGTCATTTCAAGCTCAAGTGGCTTATGCGAACAGTAACTTAATCAGTATAAGGAACTGTAATGAAAATTTGAAAACTTTGTATTAGCCTCTTTTTTTGGTCATTTTTCAGAATCTTGTAGGTGTGTTGAGTGTTATACTCAATTGGCATTGCTAGTTACATTTAAGACTATTTCTGCATATATAGATATTAGACTTTCCTAAAGTATAGATATTATAAAATTGCTCTCAAAGTTTTTGATTTAAAATAGGTTTACTATTTGAGTAAATGCTTTGATCAAGGTAGAAGCTTATTTTGAATTTCCCACATGCCTAGAAGCATGGAGTCTAAAATTACAGACTTCAGAATTCATCTGTTAAGGAAATTGTGATCTAGAACAATTAAATGAGTTACAAAGCTAATTAGTACCGAAACAGGGCTAGAATTCAAATCCATTGCTAGAAATAAGTTGCTTTTTTCTCAAGAGTTTTGATATTGAAGGAATCAGCTAGCTGGGAATGGTCTTATATGCCTCATAGATTCTTTAATAGTGGGTGCTCTATTGTATGTGATTGCTTAGCCCAGTGAAAAGGGCATTGACTAGAACTGAGCTGAATTATAAAAAATAGTAATTGTTCACAAACTCTGCTTAGAAAGTACTTGCTTGGTTATTCTTAGCAAGGAGTTGCATACATTTGGGACACACAGCTTTATGTAAATCCATCTCTAATAGAAAGTAGATTATTTTTGTTTGAGTGCATATGCTGTTTTTTTTTTTTTGGTGTTTTTGAGACATGGTCTCCCTGTAGCCCCAGCTGTCCTGGAACTTACTATGTAGACCAGGCTGGCTTTGAACTCACAGAGATCCACCTGCCTGTGCCTCCCAAGTGTTGGGATGAAAGGTGTGCGCCACCACGCCTGACTTCATATGCTATTCTAAGACATGAATTCTTGATATAGTAAAAGCTGCATGTATTCAAACAATAATTTTCAAACACTTCCTAGGGTTAAAAGCTAAACTTGGATTTTAGATGGGCTTTTGGCAACACTAGTTTAAACCAAGGATTTTTGTAGATAAAATAAATACCAGAAATTACATCTGATTAAAAATTTAATATGATTCATTTCAGTGAATCACATTTTGAGATTGTTGGCTTTACTTGCTGGATCTCATTCAATTGGTCATATCTTTTAGACCATATTTGTTATTTATATTGGCATTCTTGTTGTTTCAAACCCTTGGTGTAATGTATGCATTTCTAATTTTTTGAGGCAGGGTTTTGTTATGTAGTACAGATTGAATTTGAATTTTCCCTACAGTTTAGCCTGACTTTGAACTTGCTGTATTCTGTCTCAGCTTCCTAAATGTTGAGAATACAATGCACCACCATACGCAGCTTGTATTTCTAAATTCTATGCTTGAAAATTTTATAAAACCTATGTTTTTGTTAAGTATTTTGTCCTTTTGGCTTATGAGTTAAACACTTTCTGTCTTTTTTTCTTCCCCCTTGATTCCCCTGTCACATCTTCTTCCCATTCCCTCTGGAACCCTTCTTCCCCGCCCCTCAATAACTACTGAGTTTAATTAGGATAGTTTGCATGTGCATGAGTGTGGAGTTATTTACTGGATTATAGGCAACTTCTTAGAAGAAAAATGACTACCCTTCCCCCAGCAGCATCAGCTGTTCCTGAGCTAGAGGTGGGGCCTCATTTGATTTTCCCTATCCATGCTGGGATATTGATGGGCTTGAACTTTGTACTGTCTTGTGCAGGTAACCATGACTACTGTGAGTTCATGCGTATAAGAATCATGTCATGTCCAGAAGACAAAGTTTCATAGCGTTCTTCCTCACCCTTTATCACCCTCTGTCTCTTAACAGTCTTTCTGCCCCTTCTTCCAAGATGGTCCCTGAGGTGCGTGTGTGCGTATGATATAAATGTTTTGTTTGTCTGAGCATTCAAGAAGTCATTTATTCTTAGTACTTTGACTATTTCTGAGACTCTACATTAACTGCTGCCTACTACAAAAAGCTTATCCGGACAAGGTTGAGAGCAGCACTAACCTATGGGTATAAGCATAAATATTTAGAAGACAGCTTGATAGCATAACCATTTACCCCAACAATAATAAGGTCCCATCTAGGGCCCAAGACTTCCCCTTGTCTTTTTAAAATAGTGGTGATTGGTGATATTTAGCATATAGTTTGAATAATTTCTGATCCTTTAGATGTATTCTTTGAGGCCAAGGTATTCTTAATCCAATATTAAATTGAATTACAGTGAAATTTTTTCTTTGTAACTTTATGTATTTTAAAACATTCTAAGGAGTCCACAAAAATTTCATTGGACTGATAAAAGAGCCCATGCATAAGAAAAGTTAGTGACTTGTATATAGGTCTTACTTTTGTCCTTTATATTGCTATAGTGTTAGAGGAATAAAGTGTTTAATGCTTACCAGTTTTCAGCGGTTTCTTAGATCTCGAAGTTTTTCCTTTCTTCTTAAATGAAGTGAGCTTGTATTGTCTAGTTTTTAGTTTTTAGTTTGCATCCTTGTTTTTTTTATTGCAATTGGCATAATTCTTATTTGGTTTCCTTATAAATTTTAGTTTTCATATTTACTGAGAATATAGTTAAAAATAAAGCTCCTTTCTCTAAGAGAGATATAATCCATTTATTTTAATGATGCCCCTGTTATAAGGAAGGCATGAATGGATAAATTTGAGCAGTACCCACTCATTTTGTGTTTTAAATTTATGCTTTATATATACTAAAAAAATTAGTAATTTCATTTATTGCATAGGGTGCAAATCAGGAAAAGAATTTAGAGAAATCACGAAAAGCATAATTAGGTAGTATCAAAGTAATTGCAGGAATCAAAAATTTCAAGAATAGTAAAGTTTTAGTAAAATTAAGTCTCAAAATGCCTTCTGATCTCAAATATGTTTTAGCTTTATCTTTCTCAGTGTAGTGGGTTGTTGATAGTGAAAATTTAGCAAGAATTTCATTTCTCACATGACTTCTTGTACACTAATTATACTGGTGTGGCTTCTTTAAAGTTCTACCTAGGAGAGTTTTGAATAAACAATTCCTAGTGTCTCACATCCTATAATTTTAGTGGGTTAGCTTTCTTTCTTTTAAACTTGCATGTTGTGCTCTTAGTTTAAAACTACCTGGCTCTGTCTTTAAAATAATAACCAATTTTTGTTGGAATTGAACACCCTTTTTTAGATACCAAAGAAAAAATTTTCAGTGTATTGTAACTCCTAAGAATACCATCATTATATTGGAGCCAGAGTAGTCAACACAATCTTCTAGGTTAAAAAATTACTGTAGTATATTTAATTAGTATTCTTTAAAAAGTTTAGAAATATGGCTAAATATTAGTTTTATCTCTAGAAAGAAAAATTTTCACAAAATAATTAAAATACATTTGTATACATTCATGTATATGTTCATACAGTCAACAGCATAGTAATCTTGTCTTGAGATTGTAAGGAGAAGAAATGTGTTGTTTGGAGTAGAAACTAATTGATGTAGCTGGTTTGTGTCTTTTTTGTCTTATCTTTCTTAGGGAAGAACCTTTTTGGGGAGCTTGACTTTTGAAAAGGAAATAAAAATGAGAATTAAAGCATCCTATCAAGATGGAACAATTATTGCTCAGGCTGAGGATGGCACTGTTGATATAGGAGAAGAAGTGGCTAAGAAAGGCTTTGCAGAAAAATACAAAATTACCTCTGGCATGGACATCTGTGAGGCAAAGAAATCAGATTCTAGTCAGCTTTCTCTCAGGAACCTCAAGAATCCCATTCCCTCGTGGGGGCGCAGATCAAACCATTCAACCTTCAGCAGGCCAAAGGGGCATTTTAATGGGAAGTTGGCTCTTGATGTGAAGTGTGAGACTAATGCAGGAAATCATGTGACATTTCCAAAGTAAGACTAACTTGGTGGGGGTTTTAGTTTTAATCAATTTTAAAATTTATTGTAGTGACTCTTGCAGAAGTTAGTTCTTAACACTTTTGGAATCCTTAACAATGCCTATGATGTTGTGAGTGATCTTGAGGGATGACACTGATAACTTCTGTTATTTAACATTTGTTCCTCTCTTCTTTAGCAGGAATATTTCCCTTAAAAACCAGTTTGAAAGAAAAATCGTTTCTGAATTGTTTAAAGTTCATTTGCCAACTTTTCATTCCAATTCTTTTGAATATCTTCATCAAGAATAAAAATCTAGAGCTGGAGCCCTAACTTAGCAGTTAAGAGCACTTACTGCTCTTCTAGAGGACCTGGGTTCAGTTCCCAGCACTCTACCCACATGGTGGCTAACAACCATCTTTAACTTTAGTTCCAAGGGATCTGAAGTCTTCTTCTGGCTTCCATGGGGATTGCAACACTGAGTGCACTTACATACATCCAGGCTAACACTCATAAAGTAAAAATTAAAAACTAAACAATAAGAAAAGAATAAAAATCTACCTTAAATATTATTCAAACAAAGACTGGCATTTTAGATAAGATTTGAAGTTGGGGCTGAAAGGATAGCTCGGTGGTGGAGTATATGCTTAGCATGCATGAAGTCCTACATTCAGTTTCCATTCTAGTAAGGGAAAAAGAGTGGATGTTTTTCCTCTGGCTCTAAGAATACTTTCTATGAGTTTACAAAAGGCTCTGTTATTCTTGTGAAAGCTTGTGAGGAAATTTTTTGATCATTCCATAAGAAATTCATTTCTTAATAAATTTTTTTTCTATTTTTTGTAGTCCTAATAATCAAACCCAAGGCATCATGTATGCAAGGTCTACACTTTTACCAGCTGAGCTACTTCCTCAACCTATGTTTTAATTTTAATTAACTAATTAATTATTTAGGTTTTTTGAGACAGGGTCTCCCTGTAGCCCTAGCTGGCCTGGAACTTACTATGTAGACCAAACTGGCCTCAATCTCACAGAGATCTGCCTGCCTCTGCCTCCCAAATGCTGGGATTAAAGGCATGTGCCACCATGCCCATCCTCTATGTTTTTATTTTAATTGACTCAATAATTGTACATACTTGGGCTGGAGAGATGTCTCAGTGATTAAGAGCTCGTATTTCTCTTGCAGAGCCACCCACATCAAGCAGCTAACAACCACCTGTAATTCCAGCTCCAAGGGATCGGACACCTCTGTCCTTCATGGGCTCCAGTACTAATACACACACACACACACACACACACACACACACACACACACACACAATATTAGAAAGAAATAAAATAATTGAACATACATATGATGTATGGTGTGATATTTCAATTCATGTGTATCATGTGGTCAGAAGATCAGAAGAAGTGGCCTGTCATCTCAGATGTATGTAGTTTGAGTACCCCCTTTAAATAATTTTGAATTACCTACTTGAAGCAGAAAGCTAGATTAGATATTCATATATACCAGTATATTATTATCTATGGTGATTCAACCCATGTTATCATTGCAGTTTGATGGAATTTTTCCAGTGCTTTAGGAACTAAATTGTCAAAGTTGGAGGTCCTAGGGAGGGGGATTAGAAGAAACTAACACAGAAATATTGTTTACTTTGTTCTTTGGAGTTGACTGTACTGAGAGGAATTTGGAATACAAGCGATTGGAGGCATAATTTTTGAAGTATGACTCAGTTATATAATCTAGTTTCCAGTAAAATAATTTACTTTTTATTTGTGTTTTGATGTAGGGTTTCACTAGCCCAGACTAGCCCAGACTGTTCTCAAATTTATGTAGCTGAAGACAGTCTCAGACTTGTTATTTTCCTGCCTTGGTCTTCTGAATTTTGGGATTTCAGGCTTGTGCCAATATGCCCAACTTAAGTTATTTTTTAGTGTTGCAGTAGGCATAATTTTAGTGTTCAAAGATAGAGTATAAACAAGTCAAAGTAATTTCAGTTGGTGAGTTCTGTTAGCCTTAGCATATTTTTAAAAATGAGTAAATTTGTTTTTAACAGGGAAAGTTTGGCTGCTGGTGACTTTAATTTGGGGTCTAATGTCAGTCTGGCAAAAATTAAACAGGACCAGAAACTTATTGAAGAGAATGAAAAACTTAAAATAGAGAAAGATGTTCTTCTTGAAAATTATAAGGCTTTAGAACTGAAAGTTGAACAGACCGCCCAGGAGCTTCAGGTAAAGAAAGTTCACCCGTGAAATCTATGCACTCCTTTTATGTTTTGTCATTCCCTTGATTCTCTCCTGAAATTTAGGTAAGAAGAAATTTTTTTCTGAATTTGAAACTAGTCGTCTTTGGATTTCATTGGATGTTTGACACTTGTTTTTATTTACATTTTCTTTTATGTTCCTTTAAAAATTTTTAATGTTTGTGTGTGGACATGTTAGTTTGTGTGTATGCAGGTGCACGGTGCTTATGGGCACACGAGTGTGGAGGCCAGAGGTTGATGTCAGGTGTCTTCCTCAGTTGTTCTCCATCTTAGTGGTTTTTTTTTTTTTTTTTTTTTTTTTTTTTTTTTTTTTTTTTTTTTTGTTGTTTTGGGACAGAGTCTCACTGTGTAGCCCTGGCTGTCTTGGACCTTACTGTGTAGACCAAGCTGGCCTTGACTTTACAGAGATCTACCTGCCTCTTGCCTTCAGAGTGCTGGATTAAAGGCAGGTGCCACTATACCTGGCTCTGTCATAATTTTTGGAAGAGGGTCTTTGACTGAACCCGGAGTGTCCTGATTTGGTTAGACTTGCTGGACAGCAAGCCCAGAGGTCCTCCCGTCTCTGCATCTGCAGTGCTGAGCTGGAGATGTGTGCTACTGCTGTGTCTGACTTTTTAATGTGGTGCTAGGGCTTGAACTCCATCCTTACACTCATGTGGCAAGTATTTCGCTGACTGAGACATCTTTCTGGCCCCTAAAAACTTTTAAATTATGGAAAGTATCAAACATTCCAGAAAGAGAGAATTAAATAATCCCGGTTTTTACCAGCTTGGGGTGTTCCCATCTTTTGTTAAGTCCATACTTTATATATTATTTTAAAACAAGGCCTACTCATAGTATTTCATTTTCTTATGCATGTATCTATTGCTGATAAAAGAGAGAACTCAGAAACTATACCTTGGAAATGTGTTACACAGCTAAGTGGTAAAGTACTTGCTTAGCATGTGCAAGGTCCTGGGTTAGATTCTAGCCTGTCTCCCCCTCCCCCTAAACCCCAGATTAACCAAATTATAACCATATTACAGATCATACTGAAAATAAGCAGTAATTGTATAATATTGTTTAATATCCAGATGGAGCACATTTCCCATATTGTTTCATGAAACCTTTTTGTTGTTGTTGTTTTGTTTTCTATTTTTTGAGACAGAGTCTCCCTGTGGCCCCTGCTGGCTTGGAACTTGCTATGTAGACCAGGCTGTCCTCAAACTCATAGAGATCTGCTTGTCTTTGCTTTCTGAGTGCTGGGATTAAAGACTTAAGCCACCATGCTTAGTTCCTGAAACCTTTAAAAATTTTAGTTCTTCCAACTGGTACTGGCTGAATGTTCAACAGTTCGATTTGGTTCTGACAGTTAACATTTTTAAACATTTAACATTTTAAGTATACATGAAAATGATTGAATGCTAGTATAAGTACAGTGTCCTCTTTGGCTCTCAGTATGATATGTATGTATTTTGTTTCAGCAAGAGAAAGCAGCTACCATGGATTTGACTAAACATTTAGAAAGTACTCTGAAGACTTGTATAGGTACCAAACTGAAAAATCTGGCAGCTAAGGTGGAGCTATTGAAAGAAATTAGGTACATTAAAGCAAAATTCTGTGTATTTTTGTGCAGTCTTGGTTATTGAAACAGGTGTCTTATGCATACTAGCTGAAAGAATGTTTTATATATGGGAGTGTGTGTGTGTACATGTGTGTGCATGCATGTGTGTGAAGGCCAGAGGACAGCTTCTGGTATTGTTTCTCAGGTACTGTCCACCTTGTTTTTTGAGTCTTTCTCTCACTAGCTAGAAATTTGCCAAGTGGGCTAGTATGGCTGGTCAGTGAGCCTCAGGGATCCCCTGTCTCCACATCCTCAGCCCTGGGATTGCAAGTATGCACCACCATGCCCAGCCTTTTAATGTGGGTTTTGGGGCTCCACCTTGGGTCCTCATGCTTCTGTGACAATTAAGCCATCCCTCCAGCCACCCCCCAAAAGAGTATTTTGAGAAGGATAATTTAAAAGAATTGCTAATTAGTTGGTACTTTGTTTAAATTGTATGTCTACTATTTTTGCTTTTGAGAGTTAATCTTTCTATTTTTGTGACTTCAAAGAGAAAGATTGAACAGTAATTCCCAAGATTAATTTTAACAGGTTTTTTTTGTTTCTTTTTGGTTAGTTTTCTGTTCTTACTTGGAACTATAGTGTCCTAAGTTCATCTCTGTGAGTGAAATTTAAAAAACAACATCCCTCTCCCCAGCTTGAGTGGTAGTTTGATGGGAAACCATCATGTCTAGCTGTATTTTTTACAGTTGTTTTCAGGGGTTTCCTGGAACTGAAGGTTTTAGTAATCTAAATTGATTAATTATACTTTGTCTGAGGAAAAAATACATTATTTGCAAAGTCAGAAGAAAAGGAATTAGTTGGGACTGGAGAGATGGCTCAGCGGTTAAGAACATTGGCTGTTCTTGCAGAAGACCTGGGTTCAAATCCCAGCACCCACATGGCAGCTAACAACTGTCCATAACTCCAGTTCCAGGGGGTCTGATAGCTTCTGTCCTCTGCTAGCATTGCACGACACGGGTGCACTTAACTACATGCAGGCAATACACGCATACCCATACTTTGATGCTGCCATGAATGAATACTGCATGTTGATTCATTTCCCCAGTGGAAATTTATATTTTCCAGTATAAATTTCCTCACATAGCATGTGGTTTTAAGTCTTTTAAGACTTGGATAATTTGGTTCCCCAGAGCCTAATTAAGTTTTGATACACTACTAGAGATAAACCAGGTAGCAGTACTGGCAAAGCTTTGAGCCAGAATGACAGTGTGTTTTAATCCATGTTTGAGGAAAAAATGTGCTATTAGAATGGTGGCAGTCGATTTGGGAGCTAGAAAAAACAATTGGTGTGCCTCGTTAGTTTTTTAATTAGCTTGCTTCTGATTGCTTTGTTTATAGTTTTTTAAAACTTAGTATATGCTGGATACGAGGACTTTGTTATACAAAGTTAGCTGTGCCTAAAATTTTTAGAGAAGGCTTTACAAATCTGATTATAGAACAGAAATTGAAGGCCTTTTGACATTGTAAATTAACTCATATTTTTTGATGTCATGGTCATCTTTTTATACAAAGTTTTTAAAATTTTCATTTTTTCCCCCAGCTAGATGTGATGACATTGTCTGTAGTCACAGTAAATCTCAAGGCCCAGACAAGAAGATGCTCAAGCCTGGAACTTCTGAGGCTAACCTGCAATACAGCATTTATTTATTTATTTATTTATTTACTGATAATGGGAAGATACGTGTCTTTTGGTTCCAGGAAAATATTTGCAATAGAATCTCATTACGTAGCCTTGGCTGGCCTGGGACTCACTGTGTAGACCACTGGGTAGATTCACAGATGTCTGCTTGCCTCTGCGTCCTGAGTGCTCGCATTAAAGCTATGTACCACCATGCCTGCTTAATAGCAATGTCTTGTCTTGAAAAATGTATAAAATTGTTTCACAAATTTTTATGTTAAAAGTTTACATTAAAGTTGTACATTATTTTCTATGAAGCTGTAGGCTAGTGCTGTAAATAGTAACTTTTAGATTATTTAAATGAATTTCTCTTATATGGGCTTTGTAATATCAGGGTTTTCCTTTTTTTTGCTGTTTTCTTAAATAGGTGCATCAGTATCAATGTTCATTTCGGGAATGACCTTTCAGATGCTATACAAGTGTTGGATGAAGGAAGCTTTACTACTCTAGCTTCTTTGAATGAATTAGAGAAAATTTGGTCAGAATACAGTGTGGCTCAGGAAAAGATTCAAACTTGTCATAATGAGGTAGGCTAAAAATTTTCTCTCCTATGGTTTTATCTGTTAAACTTAAATATCTTTTGAGAAAACAGAAGGTTTGCAGATACTTCAGTGATACTTCATTTATATAAAATAAATGCTTATCTTAGGAGAAAGTTTAGCTTATGAAAAGGTAGACTAGGTAGTAAGTAGATAAATGGTTACAAAACCTTTCCCCCTTTTTCATGAATATTTGATATTTGACTTTTTTATTCCCTTGGAAATCTGATAAAATGTTTCAACCATGTTAGTAGGCAAGATTTGTTTTGGCAGATATTCTTGAATGGTAAATTGCCTGTGAATTAGGAAGAACTATAAAATACTTGATGAAGATTCTTACAAGTAGATAGCCCTTTGAGAGCCATTGGATGCTAAAAGAGTTACAAGAAATAATGGCTTTTGAGGGTCTCACCTGAAGTTTATGTACCTAGGGTAACTCAGTCTTGTTTTCTGGCCTGGACCATGTGGAGCTTGTTTTCTGGTCTGAGTAGTATGTTTTTCATTATTATAATTTTGGACTCTGCTGCAATGTTATATACTGCCCAAGCCATCTAATGTTTAGAGGTAGTTTGTGTGAGGGGAGAAGGAGTATGAAGACGGAAGCATTTTATAATTTTTATTAATTTAGGCACCTAAACTAATTGTACCTGTTTTAGTTTTCTTAATTTATTATATTGAGCTGAACAGAACTCCTTACTTTCCTTATAAAAATATTTCTCATAACCATGATAGCTTTCTGTAATACTTGAGCTTTCTTTTGTATTTGGACTTTTTCCATTTAAAGGATTAGTGTTTTTTCATTGTTTGTTTTGAGGCAGGGTCTCACTATGCATTCCTGGCTGGCCTGGAAATTGCTATGTAGAGTAGGCTGGTTTCAAACTCACAGAGATCTGGCTACTTCTGCCTCTTGAGTGCTGCCGATTAAAGGTGTGCACCACCATGCCTGACATAGTATTAATGATTTTTGCCTGTGTGGTTTATACTCTCCATGTCTTATTTCCTAGTTGCATCCAGGCTGACTGCTTGGTACCCTAATGACCTTTGAATGAAAAGCGTGAATAAGATAATTAAGCCTTTGGAAATGCCAGGAATATTTAGGTTGGAGAAGGGATTAGATGGATTGTTTTATGTATTAGCATTTAAAGGGTCATTTCTTACTATGGAACTAAAGTATGGCAGCAGAGTTAATTTTTGGATATGTATAAAATACAGGCAGTATGGCTGGGCATGGTGGCGCACGCCTTTAATCCCAGCACTGGGGAGGCAGAGGCAGGTGGGTCTCTGTGAATTCAAGGCCAGCTTGGTCTACATAGTGAGTTCCAGGCCAGCTAGGGCTACAGGGAGACCCTGTCTTAAAGAGAAAAAAAAATACAGGCAGCAATATAGGTACTTTATATACTTTTTGGAATGGCTAGTTTTCCCTTCTTTTATTAAGTAAGGAAAGGTTAAGAAAATTGCTCAGAATTACATAGTTTTAAATGTTATTATGCAATATGAATTCTGACATGCCTGACTAAAACTTAATAGTCTCTTCCCATTTAAATTGTGTGGCAGATATTAAAAGTCTTCTTGATGTGTGTTCATGTAATAAGATGGAAAAACAAAAATGAACTACTTTTTATGTTCTGGTCTTGTTTTTGTGGTTTGAGTATAAGAAAAGAATTCAGGACAGAGGGAGAGGGCTTCATATAATTGTAGGATTTGGTAATCTATTTACCTTACCTTCCTTCCTTCCTTCCTTCCTTCCTTCCTTCCTTCCTTCCTTCCTTCCTTCCTTCCTTCCTTCCTTCCCTTTCCCTCCCTCTCCCTTCTTCCTTCCTCCTTCTCTCTCTCTCTCTCTCTCTCTCTCCCTCTCTCTCTTTCCTCTCTCTCATTTTAGATCATTGCATGGAGGTCAAGTCTATTTCCATCATGTGATTGGGACAGATCATTCTCTCTCTCTTTCTTTTCTTTTTTTCTTTCTTTTCTTTCTTTCGTGCTGCTGGGGATTGAACCTAAGATCTTGTACACATTAGGCAAGAGTTATACCATTCAACTATACCCAGCCCAGTACAATAGCCCACTACTAGAATAGTAGTGTATATGTTTTTCTTTTAAAGCAAGATTTTGGGGTTTTTTGAGACAGGATTTCCCAGTAGCACCAGCTGGCCTGGAACTTGCTGTGTGGATCAGGCCAGTCTGGCCTCTATCTCACAGAGATCCTCCTGTTTCTGCCTCCACACTGTTGAGTTTAAAGGCATATACCACCATGCCCTGATCTTGTCTTTTTTTATGAGACTGGGTCTCACTGTGTAACCCTGATTGGCCTGGAGCTCACAGAAATCCGCTTGCTTCTGTCTCCAAAATGCTGGAGTTGAAGACGTACTACCACACCCCCATGAGAGAGACACAAATTTTTTTAAAAGACGTGATTTTTTTTCTTCTTTCTTGAGTTAGGATGGGTATTGAAAGATAGTTCAATATAGCATGGTAAGCACTGTATGAGATAATGGATAGAGTTCTGTATATACGTATTTCCAGCTAGTCTCTTAGATGAATTGGAGGTTTTATCCTGGTAGAGTGTAAATAAATTTTGAAAACTGAGTAGGTAAAGAAGTTGAGGCTGGAATGAGAATAGAGCGAAGGCAGAGTGTAGTAAATAACAGGAAACTGTAGTCTTACCAGAAACAAGTGAGCTGTTGTGGAAAAGTAGGAAAAAGTTGACATAGCAGGATCATTGAACTTAAGTGGTTTAGTTTTTAATTTAGGGAGAGGGAATTCTTTGATATTTTTAGTGGTCTAAAAGTAGTTGTCTTAAATGCTATTATGCTTGGAAAATGTAGTGTTAAGTTTTAGAAATCACTTTTGTACATATAGGTAAATGTATGAAAATACCTGATGTGTTAATAATGGTCATTCAATTTTCCTTTCTCCAGAATGAAGGGAATATTTTGATTGCCAAAAGAAATGAGGTACAACAGAAGCTATTTGTGGCAGTAGAAGTTTTTATTCTGGAAGTAGACGAATTACCACTCGATAAACGCCTTAAAACATTGCAGGTTGGAATTAAACTATATTAAATAAACATTAGAAATTAGTAAAGTCAGTATTAGCCTTGAAATTTTAGATAGTATTGATAATTATAAAATCTTTTCCTTTGTTGAATTCTAGTTTTTAATGGCATTAAAAATTAATATTAACTTGTTTATTATTTAAGTGTACATGTATTATCTTTCATGCAAGCAAGTTAAAATGCCAGAGAGTATTCACTGGTGTAGCAAACATTGGAGAAACTCATGGAGACAGGAGCGGTAGTGGGCATGAGGGGGTGCTATTGCTTTCTAGTAGGAAATTTAGTACAACCACTTGATTAGAGATTAAGGTACATGACCTGGGTGCACTTACCTACATGCAGGCAATACATGCATACACATAAAATAAAAATAAAAAAGTACAGTAGTTTCATGTTGTAACAGAGTTTTGTCTCAGCCTTGTCTTCCAGCTCAGGAGTGACTTTGATTTGGGCATGAATGTGGCAGTGTTAAATCCTTCTTTTAGGAACATAGTATTTCTCTTTATTTCTTTGAAGTTTTGCTACTTTGGTCAATATCTCTAGTGCTGTTGACAGTATGTGAAACCTATCTTGTTTGGACTACAGGGAATTGGCTTTCTAGACATTTGGAGAAAATAATGTGGAATTACTAAACAGGGTCTCTTTTTGTTTCCCTGGATGAAGATGCAGTTTTGATGATAGTGTTTATGGTTCAGAAATCACTGGAACCCTGGTTTGAAACATTTTGTTTTCTTTTTTAAAAGCTTTTATTTTTAATTATGTGTGTGTGCGTGCGTGCGTGCGTGCGTGTGTGTGTGTGTGTATGTGTATGTGTGTGTGCATGTGAGTGCAGGTGCTTGTTGAGGGTGCATATGAGTTCTTCCTCCAGCAAGGCTGTACCTCCTATCCTACCAAAACTGTGCCACCAACTAGGGACAAAGTGTCCAAACACTTGGATCCTATGGGGGATAGCCTTATTCAAACCACCTCCATATCCCTAATTTGAAAAATCCAAAATCTGAAGTGCTCCAGAACTTCACACTTTTTGAGTACTGACATGATACCATGTGTTGAGACAGCTCTGTAGCTCAGGCCAGCTTTGAACTTGGGGTCTTCCCAAGTGCTGGAATTAAAGGTGTGTGCAACCACATCCAGTTGTACATCCATTTTGTGGAATGTCTTATATGGAACACAATAATGTACCAAAATTGTAAAGAGTCTGGCTTACAAATTTGTCTTTTGATTGCTAGCTTAATTGAATTACATACCTATAGTTAGTGTTTGATTATAACTTATTTCCATTACCTTGTTTTTTAAAATCTTTGTCACAATTTCCTTTTCTGTCATCTTCTATTTTCCAGTGCTAATTTTTAACATTCTCCTCTCCCTTTGGTGTCTTTCCTCTGTTTCTCTTATCTCCTTCCCCATAGCCAACCAGCAAAACTACAGAGGTTGTCCAGGACTGCAGTCACAGGTTGTTGTGGGAATTATGTGTGACAACTCAGTTAAATAAAATAGAGAGCTATTTTCTCAATTTCTTGTTGTTTCCACATACGGAATGTTTTTTCTAAGAATGCTTTTAGAAAGGCTGTTGTGTAATTGGCTTCATGATGTTTCAAGGTATCTAATTTGAATCTCTCTAATAGACAGTTGTTTAGGTAGGTATGAAGTGTTAAACCCAAAGAGCTAGTTTTTTCTTTAGATTTTTCTGTAGCAATATATTGTTTTTTATTTTATAATTGTTGGCATCAGTCTATTTGGTTTTGTTTTTGAGAGAGGGTTTCCCTATAGCCCAAACTGGTCTGGAACTTGTCATGTAGACCAGGACACACTTGATCTCCTCTGCCTCTGTCTCTCAGAGTGCTGTGATTAAATGCATGCACCACTGCACCCAGCTCATCAGTCTTAAGTTTTATTTTTATATTATATATATATTTTTCCTCTCTGGAGGCTTAGAAATTGACTTTGTTCTTAAATTTCAATAAATTTTGATTTAATCTGAGTCCATTTAGCTTGAGGTTTTACATCTTCCTTTAGTTCTAAGAAATATTTTGTAAGTATTTCTTAAGATAGTGTCTCTCTCCCATCTTATTTTTATTTTATTATATATGTCTAAACTTATTTTTAT